AACTTGGCCTTAAAACTACACTGAAGTGCCACTGAATTAGGGATAGGTAGTCAATAACGAGTTGGGCCTACTCTGGCCTTTATAATGGCTGAAAAACGACGAAGCATAGATTCAATAAGTTTCTTGCCAAACTTCGGATAGAGGTGTCCATAATTCAAGAATGGTCGCTTGTGTTGTGTGATGTGGTTTCACACTTATCTCCAAAATATTCGAAACATGCTCAGTAGGAATTGAGTCAGAGCTTCTAGGTAGCCAATTTATTGCAGAAAAGTGTCAAAGGAATACTCATCCAACCGGGACCTGTGAGAGGTGCAGTTATCTTGCTGGAATACTCCATTTCTATGTGAGTGACAGGTCTGTGTTAAGTAATCGGAATCGAGACTCATCATTCCATGCTATTCCTTTCCAGTACTCTACAGTCCATTCTCCAGCTTATCTTGCCCAGGCAAAACGTGCAGCTCGATGGCATACATTAAGCAATGATACTCTCGTGGGTCTACAGTTCCCGAAGCCCATGTGGTGAAGCGAGCGTTGCACAATCGTTTTACTGACTGTACGAGTACGACTGTCGCCCTGATTCGGCGGAGTGGTAATTTGAGCTAATGTTCGTCTTTGTTGACTATGTACAATACAACTTAGCTTGTTCTAGGTTAATTATCGTTTGTAATTTGCCCGATCGCTAGTTCTTTATCTGACCATTCGTGTATTCTCTTGACACTGTCGACCTTGAAAATCCTAGCTGCTGAGGATTTTGGAAATTGAATGGCCCATTCATCGACTGCCTACTATCTATCCGGGATTGAAGCTGTCTAAATCAGAAATTTTACCCATCCTGGTAATTGAAACAACTGATTAACAACAACCATAGTACTAGCTGTATGTGCATTTATCACAACTTCCTCACGTGAGCACAAATGCCGCGGAGTGCTATAATATTTGCATAGCCATGTCTATTTCTAATTCAGTGGCACTTCAGTGTATTGACATTGTACTAAAATTAGAGAGCTGTTTTAGCGAACAACATATCAAATACGATCTAGCGTTATATTTGAAGTTGCCACCTGGGGCAAGAACCCAGGCTTGCCCCCTGCTAGATCCGGGACTATACTGATGGCTGTGTTGCTGACTGTTTCAGCGTGTTTGTTTTTTGAAAAGTGTAAACACATCTTTGGAAATGTCCTGCGTAGTGCTTACTTGCAAGTAAATCGTGTTTTGATTCTTCATCAAGTGTTATCAGTTATTCCAAATCCATGAACCTATATGACACAATAATATATGCATATATATGCAAGATAAAAAATATGTAAATCAAAATTATAAATTGAACTAATGGGGGTAAACTCTTTAATTCTTCCTCTCTGTTATAAAAATCGTAATAACTTCTCTGGATTGTGTCATTTCTAGATCGTTTTATGGCTTGCACAGCTCTGATGACGTAATAATTGGGAACCAAAACTTTTCTCTTCCTGTGCTTCAATATTGTATAAATACGCACTTCAGCGTCTCTATCCGCTCTGCTTGGACGTAGTTTCACTATGCTGCTTCCTACTGCAATAACATCAAAAATGTAAATGTTCTTGAAGAGGCACAGCTAGAGTAAACCGTGGCCACAAATATCAATTGCAAATAAAAATGGAATTAAAACTCTCTCGGCTGCCAAGTTTCTTAGATGTTACGATCTCAACATGTTAGCATACTATGCAATCAGAATTCTTCCTCTTCAATCCTTTCTGGGTATTACACATCAACAGTGCTCCGTCTTTCCCTTGTTAATTATTATGTCACATACAGAGGGAGATATGAGGTAGGATTCAAAAGTTCTCGGACAGAGTCTATTACGTAAAAAATATTATGAATTAAACTGCAGAAACACATTCTCCATCGAAATAAAGACCCTTGTGCAACAACTCAATTTTGCCAGCACCTGAAAAGTTTATCGAGGCATGTCTGGAATCTATTTTTGGGCATGTCCTTTAATTCAGCCTGCGATGCATATTTAACTTCAACTGAAAATTGAAATCGATGACTCTGCAAGCATCTTGCCAGTTCAGAAAATAGGAAGAAATCAAAGGGTGTGAGATCAGGTGAGTAAGGAGGAGTAGGCAAAACAGTTGTTTTAGTTTTTGCAAGAAAGTCACTGACGAGTACGGATTGATGAGCAGGAGTGTTGTCATGCAACAGCATCCATAACCACTCAGCCCACATTTCTGGCCTCTTCTTTTGGATAGACTCACACAAACAATGCAGGATTTCGACGTAGAGTTCTTTGTTCACAGTGCATCCTTCAGGGACATAGTCCAGATGCTCAGTGCCTTGGATATTGAAGGCTGCCTCTAGCATGACCTTTCATTTAGAGTGATTTTGGCGGAATTTCTGCTTCCATAGAGATTGTGGCGATTTCCACGTTGCCGATTCCGTCTTGGTTTGCGGGTGGTACAAAAAACACCATTTCTCGTCTCTAGTAACAATTCTGCCAAGTAGGGAAGGATCTTTGTCAACAGCCGAGATTAAGTCTTCTGCCATTTCCATTTGAATTCCTTTCGGTCTACATTTAACATGCGAGGAACGATGAGATGACACACCCTACGCATGCTAAGATCCTAATGTCAGTATCCGATGACATATGGCCTCTGATATTCCAACTGATTCTACTATTTGCTGCCTGTTCGCATGCACCAGCGCAGACACCTTTTTGATGTCTTCATCAGAGTGCGAAGTCACGGGACGGTCACAGTATACGTTGTCTTCGGCAACGTATACTGTAACTTTCCCTGCCTTCTCTGAAACGACGATGCCACTCAAAAGCTTGTCACACTACTGCAAAGAATTTTTATGTTATAGACTCAGTACGGGAACTTTTGAATCCTACAACGTGTGTGTGTATATATATAGAGAGAGATACATCATATCTAAAGTCCGGGAAATTTTGAATCCTACAACGTGTGTGTGTGTGTGTATATATAGAGAGAGAGATACATCATATCTAAAGTCTTTACTAGGCCTTTATTTTTGAAACTGTTGTTTGTAGACATACATATACTTCTAATTACAAAAATTTTAAATTATGCATATATTCATGTTTTGGCATTTTTAACTTTAAAAAAAAATCAATATAGCAAAACTCCTAAAATTCAACTTTACATGCGACTTTATACTTATGTTTAAAAAAAAAAAAGTTTGACTTGCATACAACGAAAAACTGACCAAGACACTTAATTTCAAAATTTTTACTCATTTTCAGTTGCCTTGGGTTAGCTAATAAATACATTAGAATAACTAAAGGTTGATTTTATCCTCTTAAATGCAATTCAATAATATTTTTTTAAGATTTGAGTCTTTACTTATAATTTTGCTACATTTGGTATGCCAAAAGTGTTCGCACAAGCAACTTATAATTTTCTAAAGTCTAAAAGCAGGTTACAAATATTCTCATCAATACTTCAGAATTATAATTAATAATTATAAAATATTCATTTAACTCAGTTTTTTAAATTTAAAATTAATGTAATATTTATGCAAATAATGCTACAAGCTATCTACGAGGGCTATCCAGAAAGTAGATTACGTTTTGGAATAAAAAAATAAACAAAGTATAGGAAACAAATTTTATTATATACAGATGAAAGCCACACTCAAATATTACTTTTCTACATAGTCACCATACAAATTAAGGCATTTATCGTAGCGATGTACGAGCTTGTAAATTCCTTCGTCGAAAAATTCGGCCGCCTGCGCCTTCTCAACCACTTCGTTACCTCTTCTTGCAGCTGTGCGTCGTCATCAAAACGCATTGATTGCAATTTCGTTTCACAGTTCACATGTTTCACCCATGTTTCGTCACCAGTAACGATGCGATCGCGTAAAAGTCACCATCCTTATGGTAAGCGTCCAAAAAGTTCAACGCTGCAGCCATTCGCTGATTTTGTGGGTCCTCTGTCAAGATTTTTGGAATCCATCTTGCACAAAACTTGTGGTAACCAAGCTTTTCGCTGATGATTTCGTGCAACAAACTTCGCGAAATTTGTGGGAAAACTCAAAGAAAGTTCCGGTTATTGTGAAATTTCGATTTTCACGGACTTTAGCATCGACTTTTTCGAGAAGTTCGGCGGTCACTATGCTGGGTCTCCCACTTCGATCTTCGTCGTGAACATTGGTTCGGCCATTTTGAAATCTTATGACCCACTGACGCACTCCACCTTCAGTGATAATGTTGTCCCCATACACTTCACGAAGCTGCCGATAGATTTCTACGGTTTACAGTTTTTTGCAGTCAGAAACCTTATTACTGAGCGCACCTCGCAGCTCGCGGGATTTTTCAATTAACGCAGACATTTCAAACCGTCACAGTATCTGAACGGAGCACAGCACGAACCTCTCACTAGCACGCTAGATGCCCCAGACTGAGCTGCGCAACGCTCTGACCCAAGATGCCCGCTAGCCCAGCCCTGCGGACACAGTACGTGAAACGTAATTCCTTCCTAAAGCCAAGCAGGTGTTTTCTAGAACACAAATTCTATATGTTTCTGTGAATAAGATCTCCTTGTATTGAATGATACTTTTATCAAATTACACATAAATGCTCATTATTTAATCTAGGAACATCAGACAACCTTTTCTAAACTGACATTTTAGTTATGCATAAAAGCAAACATTTCACTCTTCAATTAATGTACAGTCCCTAAATATGATCTCCAAAGCACCACCTCTTTTTTTTTTTTTTTTTTTTTTTTTTTTTTTTTATATAAGCAATATATGTTTAAAATAATGAATCTTAGTGAAATTGTATCATTTAGTAGAAAAGAAGTAAAAGAAGGGAATAAATATTGTATTCTTTTTTTGCATTTTATTGTGTACAAATTTGATTTTAAAATGTTTCTTGGGGAAAAGAAAATTCGAACAATATCAGAAACATTTAATTAAAACAAAAATGTTAATTTCACTATTTCAAAACACTTTTCTTTAAATTTGCAATGTAATTAATAAGAAATTACTTTCCAATATTAAACACAATATATAAAAATGAATTTTATTTTTGTTACATCCAGTGATCTTCATTGCAAATATTTTGCATGGTAATCAAAATGATCTTCAAGAAATGTTGATATAAAATAGAAGCTATGGTCATAACCCTGTAACAAAAAGAAATATGAAAATACACTTTAAAACTTTATTTTGTCTGTTATTAACATAAATATTAATATAAAGGTGTATACGAAAGAATATTAGATTATAGTAGTTCAGCCGAGACATATGGATAGATGACACATGCATTTCAGAAATTTTGACCGTGAACTAGGAAAAATTATTCTTCATTCTATTACAAGATAGTAATGGAGCTCAAAATAACAACTCCTGAGCAGAAAGCTTCCTATATGTTACAATTTGTAAAATATTATTAAGTTTAACAGATGTTTAAGATGAATTCAGATGTGATTTCCCATCTGATAGCAATATTTAAAAATGATATAATAACAGTTCTAGACAATGTGATGCTTAGGATGACCAAATGTACCATATGAATGTGTTTGACATGCAGTATTAAAATAACAGAATAACAGGCCTGCTAAGAACAAACAATGAAATGCATTTTAATGTGGAAGATGATTAAGCAACTATACATGAAGGCTTAAGAGATTTTAAAATTTGCTGATTATGTGGTACATACCTATTTCACATTTGAAATGCAGTAACAAGCAACAACTGATACTTCATTTATTTCTGCTGTTTTTTTAGTAATAAATGAATATTTCAGCTCAGTGATAAAGTGTACATGCATGACATCTCTTCACGTTGCTTCTTTTACATATAGAACACTTGGCATTAAAATACCAAATATGGGACAATTAAGAGACAATTAGTTGCAGAGAATCAATTCAAGAATAGGACTCCTCTTGAAAATCTCATATCACTGATACATTCGTTGGTGATTCCAAACTATTGAGATTTCACTTATCATTATCAATTTATCTTATTGTTGATTTCATTGCTAATAAATGCTGTTGAATGAAATAAAATGGTCTGCCAACTTCAAATTGATTAAAATTAGAATATACAGTGTATTTCAAACACCTTTGTAACAGCCAACACATAGGCGGTCAAACTGGTAAATATCTTTATGCTAGCTAATACATAGGTGGTCAGAGTGGTAGAAGGTCAGCGCCAGTTGAAACCGCTATTGTCTCAGATTCCCCTTTAAGTTGTACAGGGATTAGTTTGGCTTTCGCTTGAAGTGAATTCAGACATGGTCTAAAATGCTTATTATTTTGCATGCAATGCAATGCCAAAAGTTAACTTTTGAACAAAATATTTTTGCATATAATACGTACATAAAAGTAGATTCTTACAGAGAAGTATGTAGACGATTCATTGAAAAATTTCTTGAAATTCTGGTTCCCTATGGAATACTGTCTTGTTAAATTATGGGAAACTGGCTTGTTCAACGATGGAACTCATAAAGGGGAAACAACGGAGTTTCAATTGAAGAAAAAATTATGAAATTGCAGAATCATTGTAAAGTACTCCAACAAAATCTCTATGCAGTGTCTCACAGGGAACAGGTGTTTCAAAAGCCTCGGCCTACAGGGTTACTAAATTATTACATTTGAAAGCATACAGGGTGTGCATATTCTTACGAAATAAGACCACAAGATGATGTAAGTTGCATAAATTTTTGCACTTGGATTCTGCAGAATATCACCAATGGTATTGCCAATTCCCATTTAATAATTTCTTCATACAAGATTTGCTTTAATTTACATGGTTACATGTGTTCACAAAACTATAGGCATTGGAGGACAAAAACTCTGACTATTTCATGAGATTCTCTTGCATGACCAAAAGGTTGGGGTGTGATATGCTTAACTGCAAGGTGAATAACAGGGTTCATATTTTTTTCAGGACATGGTAAATTGAGAGAGATATCGCACAGAACTACTTACACTATTTTTTGAACAACTGTTCAATACTGAGAGATAATATGCATACTTTCAACAAGATTCTGCCAAACCCCACACTGCCAATAATCCTTTGCATGTTATAAGAGAGGTGTTTGACAACAGGATAATTTCTAAAGGTTTATGGCCTCTATGTTTTTCCAGATCTGAACTTGTGTGACTATTTTTTATGGATAACTCTAAAGAACAGTCTCTCTCAAAATAACCCTCACACTAGTGACGAACTCAAAGATAACATTTGAACAGAAATTCAAAACATGTTGGAAAAAGAGCTTTTGCATGTAAACGCTGATTTTATGAAAAGATGCCAGGAATGCCTGCGAGCAAATAGACACCATTTTGAATAGCTCCTATAATACAGATGAGTACTCATTATAACATAAAAATAAATAAAATGATGTGCATGATTTTATTAGTCAAAGTTTATGAGAATTTAAAACACGAGTTGGCAACCTGAGGCTGCATGGCACAAAGACGTTTGAAACACTGTACCATGGTCTCCTCCCATCTCCAAAAAATAAGGTATTAAAAAAATGCAACAGGAATGATTGGATAAAAATTAATGTTTATTTGCAACTTCCAGTTGAGAATTAATACTTTTTTTTTAAAATTTTTTAAAGAAGGTGAAACTAATTTTGATATGATCTGGATCTGACTGCTCTTTCAGAAGCAGTATAGCTAGAGAACATAATTTGGCTATGACAAGCTATTTTTTCCTATGGGAAGCCTGATAATGGCTGATATTTTCCACTCCTAAGGCATATGATAGAATAGTCATTAGGAGTGCCATTTTATTGCGGAGGCACCTAATTGACAGCCACCACTACCTCCTATGAAGGGACAGACATGTCTTCTTCGGGATTCAAGCCTGGGCCTTTTGGTATTGCCGTCAGGCTTCCCTAACTACTATACCATCGGGTAGCTGATAGAATAGCTATATTTCTAAAGAAAAATGAAAAACAAATACTTAACACATGAAAATTATGGAAAGATAAAATTGTTTCAGATTTGAGAAAAAAAAAAATTACAGTAAACTCTTCATTTGTTTTGTTTTCAAGAGAGGTACTTTTTTCATACATTACTATTTTTAATCTGATACGAAAAGCTATTGAACTTCCAACAAAAATCAACAAAGATTTTTCAGGGGTGTGTTATCAAGTATGCAGGAAAAATAACAGACACAAAGTACAGCATTTCACAATTACCTGCAACCCTCAGGACAAGGCATATGAAGTGGCACACATGTCTGCACTATTTCAGTTACCAGATTGGTAAACTACCCTATCAGTGAGGTTTAAGCCATTATATCACCAATAAGTAGGTTATTTAATGTACACAAGTCTGCAAATTTGAGGACTTTGTGTTCCATTTTATCTCCTGTCTCGCAAGTCATAATATTCATTCAGGCAATGCTGTGAAGGATTTTTATTGGTGTGACAGGAAAAACAACTCATTTTTGTCATTAATGTTTATACAACAATATGAGAATTACAAGCCATTTGGATAATCATATAACATATATTCCAGAATGCTGCTTGTTAGTGACCAAATATGTGCTCTGTATCGCATTACTATGCAATTATCACTGCCATTTGACAAACCTGCCACTGGTCAGAACTACACTTTATCACACAACATATTTACAGACACATTATGTTTACAGCCCGTCGAAAAGCAAATTTTTAGAACACTGGATATTCAGTATTTCAAACCCCAGCAAAAATACATGGGAGTTTTTGTGGTATTCTCATGAAAATAAGCCAATTTCACTTAAAAAAAAAAAAAAAAAAAAAAAAAAAAAAAAAAAAAAGAGCCTATACACAGGTATCTTTCCACTTAATAATCGAATCCACTATGTTTGCCATTTCATGGCTGCAAATACCATGGGCATACCTGCAATATAAATGCCATGTCCTGGGGTTTCAATCAATCATGAAATGTCACACTTTGCACCTGTTGCTTTGTTCACAAACTTGATCACCTCTGAATGTTTTATGATGATTGTTGCAAAGAAGTCAGATAGTTTTACTTGTGGCATGATTGATTTGTATATTTTTCCGACTTTTTGAAAAAAGTTTTGACTACCCCTGATCTTTTGAAAAACATATTTTCATGATCTTTCTCCAAACTTGTATGATATTTCAGGATTTTTCAGGTGAAAAAGAACCTCGCCTTGATAAATATTTTATTTTTTAATAGTATTAAGAAATGGCATTCTTATCATTATATTTATCAGTTTTAAAATATTATTATAATTATCAATACCAATGTTTGTTTGCATTCTAAGAAACAGAGAATTCTGAATTAATCATTTTCAGAAGTGGTTCCATGAAAGATTTTGCCATTTCTTGAATTACTTATTTTGTTATCTTCAAGTGGAGGGGAATAATAAATTTTCCCAAAGTATACATACATATAATTATACACAAACAGAATAAATAAATAAAATAACCTAAGAAGAAAATTTGTAATCCACATAAACATTAAAAACATATATAAAATTAGGTCATACTTCTTGCATTCTTAGTTTCGCTGTAATTTTGGTTCCTTTACAAGCATTAACGAAGTGCTCAGGAAGCAGCTGCTCTTTCAAATAACAATCCTCGGTACCCTATTGCATAACAGATAATAATTTTAGTATATATAATACTAAATAAATGCATATATAGTTTTCAAATTTTGTTATGAATACATAATTGTTCATAATTAAATACACATCAAGTCAGAGAACAAAAAATATGTATCTAATTTACACTCAGTTACATACTACAACAGAATTTCAGTAATCTGCAGACTTTGAACCAAGGATTCTGAAGATTTGTAAATTCTACGAATTACAGGTCTTGTCTTTCTGAGACTTGTTTACATATCTCCATGTAAGTTTTTAAATTAAATTCAAATTGTTTGCTCATAAACAACTAATCAAAACATACTCGTACTTTAAGAATATTGCAAAGTATTTCTTTAAAATCTTAGAAGGTATTATTATCATTATTATTATTATTAGTAATCAAGATTGCAAAACTATTACATATTTGATATACAATCACATGCTAAAATTATAATAATGATAACACTGAGTACAAGAGCAAAAAATGGAAATAAAAAGTCGAGAAATTTTTTGATGAGATAAAGAACTCTTGAAAAAATGCATCAAAGTATTTTATGTACAACAAAAATTCTATATCCATTAATTAGCAAAATTACTTTAAGCGTCTGACCAGCAAGCTATGATACATACAGCCTAGAATATTTTTTGTAACATTTTAGAAACATATATATGTCGTATTTTACGTAATTGCGTAGGAGGAATGTAGTACTTTTAGCAGTTTTTGATATTCGTCATGGCCGAGGATAAAGGTATGATGACACAGTCAACACAACTGAGCTTAAAGTATCCCAATCTCTATTTTCCCGCTTATCAAAACACCATGGTAGATATTTATCCAATCATAGTTAAATACGATATATTTTATTTACACCAGTTTTAAAAGTAAGATGTAGGCATCTTAGACTGAGAAGCAAAGCAGCTTAGGTGCTGGCATGGTGGAAGCTAAGAAAAGGAATAACGTAGTTGTTTTGCAAAGCAGTAGTTATACCAAGTACATGCACAAGTATATCTAAGCTACTATTGATTGATTTTAGGTTGTTATGTAACATGGAAAGATCTCTTTGGGAGAACAGATGAATTTAGGAGGGGAGAACATGAAGTCTAGAGTAGTTAATTTTGAGGTTGCTAATTATTTCTTAAACCAGCCATAGTATTTTGTTATATTTTGCACATACACACACATGTATATGTATATATATATATATATATATATATATTTATACATGTGTGTGTATGTGTGCATTTTGAAATATGTCCAAGAAATTAAGGCAATACATTTAAGTACATAAATCAAAGTATAAAATACCAAGGGCATTTCGAAATAAAAACCAAGATAATACCTTTCTCTCATGGCAGCTTTGGTAAATTTGGGCTTCCTAAACACAATCGTCTGCTGGTCAGATGGTTAAAAGTAACTTTTGTGCTCATAACACTTTCAGGCCTAATTGAATATGCATGTCCTAACCACTGCTTTTCTTATCCCAATAGGATGAATAAACCTCATTTTATATCATTTTACATATTGGTGTACAAAGAACAATTTTCATGCTGTTGCCTAATTTTGTGTCCATTATCCTATTCTCATAACCTATATTTGTATTCTTTTATGTGCATAGCTACTGCATGTTAAAAAAAGTGATGCCTATTTCTACTATTTTTAAAAGTAAATGTTTTCACTGATTAATGCAATAAATTGTCCAAATGAAACAAGCATAATATTGCTATCGCAACAAATAAAAATACTAATATTTAGCTATTCCATATTTATAGACATATATCCCAGTCAGTTTTCTGAACAGGTTATATATCTCCCAAAGGAAAAGGAAATAGATCCAGATTGCACTTCGATTTTCAGCTGTCAATTTGATGAAACAGAATTATTTACAGACCAGTCAGTCAATTTAGACTTGTTAGGAACCAAATCCAAAATAAATGATTGGAAAATAAACAAATATGCTCTTCATAAAAATATCTGGTTTTAAATTTTTCCCTTAATTGAATTTTAAACTAATTCTTTCACTGTGTTTTACACATGCGCAACTGAGTTAAGTTGAAATACAAGCTATGATAATACTATAAGCAGTTAAATATGCATGAAGTGTCTCAAAACTCCACATACATACATTGAGAGGATGTAGAGAACATCAACATGAACGATACTTGCATAAAACAGCAAGACCAGAAATGCCATATGTTAGTACTCTAGGTTGCCACATGGGGCACTGAAGCTTTTGGCATCATATGGAAAATATGCATTGTTTCATGATTGGCGAGTTGGTGACATGCATATGCACCAGAACCTGTATGAACATGGATTCCTTAAAATTAGGATGCAGAATAGCAGGTGGCTATTGATCTCCCATAATTCCCACCACAGAAGAAAAGTATTATATTCTGTGCACAGTAATCCAAGCACAAGGATGTGTGTGGTTGTCCCTGAGATATAAGCATTTCAAGCAAGTGAATGGGGCTTTATATTAATTTCATTCACAATGATTTTAGTCACTGCAGATGGAAGATCATCTGCAAAGTATCATATTTGCACAGTGGTTTCTGCATCAAAGTGCAGGTGACCTGATCTTCTCAGGCTTCATTTCCATTCGTCCTTTTCCCGTGAAGGTGTTTCCGATCTCCACAATATGCATGGACTGGCCTAGAAAAGCCCACACCCTATTTGATAACATGCTGTATAACATTACTTTGCATTAAAGTATAGAGTAGTTATAGATAACAGTTTAACCAACTCATAGCTATTATCACCAAAGCTTAAAGTTTGGAAATATTGAATTTTTCTAATGTAAATTCTGCCTGATTTCCCAAAAGATGTTCCCATGGCTGTGTGCTTTTAACTGTAGTTCCATCATAGAAGGCTTCATCTTATTACACCAGTATTAAGGAAGAACATATGAATAATAAATTTGGAAATCAATGAATTGGGAAGCGCAAACCAGTTGTATAACTCCCATGTTCACCTGACTTCAGTCACCGATTTCTTCATGTGAGAGAGCTTCAAGGCCATTGTGTATGAAAGGGTCATTGCTTTTGACATGAAACTGGCACAAACTTCCATCACTGCTGCTAATATCTGTGAAACCTTTACATATCTATGAAAATGACTGGCAATCCATTAGGTTATCTGTACCAAATATACATCATTGTGAATGGTCAAAATTCTGAACACCTTTTTTGAAACTGTATTTTGTGTCTAACAATTGTATGCTAAGCTTCACTCAAAAAAGAACTTTACACTGATTTCTGTAATGAGTTCTTACTAAGTCTTTATGTTTCTTTCATCTCCCACAGATGAAGTGCCAAGTCATGCCTTAACCTGCCAAGTCATACTGATGCCTTAACATACTGATAATCATACTGTCAATCCCTGCGTCCCTTCAGAGTTTATATGTGGAAGTTTTAAAACAATGAATAAATATGTATTTAACATAAAAATATAGATGCATATATTACAAAAAGATGAAGAAACAAAAAATAAATATATACATGTAAGATAAAAAAATATGTTAATCAAAATTATAATTTAAATTAACTGTAAAACATTAATTCTCCCTCTCTATTCTAAAAATCGCAATAACTTTGCGTCATTTCTAGATCATTCTATGGCCTACACAGCTCTGATGATGTAATAATTGGGAACTGAAACTACAATTGTAAACCAAAACTTTCCTCTTCGCGTGCTTCCATCTTTCATAACTACGCACTTCAGCTTCTGTCCCTGCTTTGCTTGGATGCAATATCGCTAAGCTACTTCCTTTTGCAATAATATCAATAATGTAAATGTTTTTGAACAGGCACGATTAGGATGCCAAGTGATCTGTGGCTGTCAATTGGAAATAAAAATGGAATTAAAATTGCCTTGACTGCCAAGTTTTATTTACAAAGTCAACACATTAGCTTACGGTGCAATCAGAATGCTTCCTGTTCAGTATAGGATAACTAAGCATCAACAGTGCTCTGTCTTTTCCTTGCTTTTATTATATCAATTAGTTGGACAGGATCGTTACCAGTGGCCTGAGACCTCAATGGAAAATTTAGTTCAGCTCTTCAAATGATCGTTTTGTTATAAATCCAAGATAATGTGAAAGAAGTGAATCATCAAATTTGTTTTCAGTGTTTAAAAAATAACTGATCATTCTTCTGCTGTGGTGTTTTGCAAGTGCTCCAAAAAAATTAAGCAAGCATGGTGTTTACAGATTGAAAGTAATCTCTCGATAAGTTGAGAAGTTCGAATGCCTAGTGAAAAGGAACATTGAATTTGCTTCGCTGATCTCTACAATATTTAGAAAAAAAAAAAGTGCTTTAAATCATCAGTGAATTCCCATTTAGGAATTCCGCATTACAGTTGGTTCAAGGTCGATATGAGTTTGTGTTTGCAAATATGCGCGACAGAAAATTATTTGTGCTTCTGCTAGTACTTCATCAATCGACAGCTCAAAAATTGTTGCACTTGTGTGAATTTAATTCAGGAACAAAATTATTTAATATGCTGTGTATTCTATACTTTTCATTTCAATTTTGGTTAAAATTTCTGCAAATAGATTATGCTGTTTTGCGAAATTCTTGTTCATTAATTTTTCATAAGTATGTATGAGCAAATTAAATACCGAATTTTAAGCTATTTAAATTATTCATAGGGAAGGATTTCAAGGTATCGAGGTGTTGAATTTATGTTGGAAATGTTGAATTGTTGATGAGAATTTTTAAGTGCATGAAATAATTATGAAAAAAGTAGTATAAAATATGATAAACAAATAGCGTTTTTGAGTAGTAGTATAGAATTATGTTAACTGATTAAAAAATGCACGGATTGTAATACGTTTAGATAAACTTTGAAGGCTTCCACTTCTATTTTTTTTGAATATAATAATTTATATATTTTTTAAATATAATGGAGTATTACAATGCAGTTCACAAAGGCCAGTTACCTTATAAAAGGAATGGAGGCCTTTCCAAGTAACTGCCCAAATAGCTGGAAGTGTGTATTA